TGGGTACAGACAGAAGAGCAGCTTCATGTAAAATGCCTGTGGGTAACGTGTAGCATCTTAGAAACCCATTTCTTTCTAATGTGTCCCTCAGGACAGCAGAGACAATTCTCTTCACATGGGATTTAATACCCTGAGTAGTGAGGGGGTGGGGAGTGGGGGACTGGAAACATAGATATCAATGTAAAATGCCCGGAATTCAGATAAACTGGAAGGATGAACAAATTGAGCACCTGAGCCATAGTGGAGCCACACACGGTTTTTATAACCTCCAGCACTGCTATCAATGCGCCCGCTAAACTCGTGTCCTGATGTCAGAATGTTAAAGCTGCCAGGCATACCTGAAATTTTTCATTTCGTTTCTCATTTACAAAGTAGAATCTGAATAAAGAAAAATTAACTTTCGAGTCTGGAAAAACAGTCCTACCTTGATTGCTGCCACTCTACAGACACATTGAAACATATATGATGCAGAAATATCACTCTAAAATAGCTTTATTAATCCTTCCCTCAACTAAGTGAAGTAATGACTTGAAAAATAGATCCACCTAGCCAAATACAAATCAGTAGTTTGATTACATAGATATTCCTGAGAAAGGAAATTCTGGCCTTGATTTCACTGCTTTACCATTCTCACAATGGGGATAATTCTTTTAAGTAGCAGCAGCAGAGACTTGTCAGAACCCCCCCCCCCCCCACTTTGTGGCTGATACTGTTTTCCATGTAATGACAAAGGTTTCATATTTTGTATACTTTGTTAAGGTGCCTTTCCAACCACGGTCACGAGTGCCACCCTGGCTGTTCTTTTGACAGTATCCAAGCATTGATATTACCTACAGATCCTCACCAAATTTAGAAATTCCTGCCCATGCACAGCACAGTATCCTTCCTTGGAAAGTTCCTTGGTTACAAAGTGTGCACACATTCACTGGGGGGTGTTGGGTGAAGTGGGAGAACTGCCTCAGTAGATAAAAGTTGACATCTTTTTAGGTAAAACAAACACATACATGCACAATTACAATCTTCATCTGGAAATCCCACCATATATTATTACATTTGTCACAAAATTACCTGATACCCCAAGGGCAAAAGGGAGGGAAGTCATTTATTGGATATGTTTTGTGTCAGTTACTGTACGAGTCATTTGAATATGGTCTCTTCTTTGAACATTTGGGTTAAATGGATAATGACAGAAAATGATATACTATTTGCAGTATATACTCTACACAGGAGGTTGGGGCTCTTGATCCAATATGACTGGCGTCCTTATAAGAAGATGGGAAGATACACAGGGAAGGAGGTCATGTGGGGACAAGAGGCAGAGATCAGAGGGAGGCAGCCAGAAGCCAGGGAACAGATGGGGCCACTAGTGGCTGGAAGAGGCAAGGAAGGACCCTCCCCTGGTGGCCTCAGAGGAACTGAGGCCCTGCTGACACCTCAATTTTGGACTTGTAGTCTTCAGAACTGTGAGAGAATAAATTTGTTACAGAAGCCCTAAAACAAAAACCACATATGAAAATGAAGAAGCATCAAGACCCAGAGAGGAGGTGAAGCTGAGGTGAATGTTAAATATTCATTTCATTCCCTTTCTCCCTTTCTCTCTCTCTCTCTCTCTCTCTCTCTCTCACACACACGCACACACACACACACACACACACAGGTACAGTCCTCTGGGATGGCCTTGGAAATGGCAAGTCATGTAGAAAGGCACACAGAGAAACTTACTGTAACAACACACAACCACCAGTAACTGCTACTGGAACATCGGTGTGGCTGGTGAATTCTCTGAAGGTGACCTTCAAGTCACTGTCAACCAGATTGTGGAAAATCCTCTCCCGCAAGGAAAGTGAAAAGCCCGTTCTAACCCAGATCGGTGTAAGGTGTGGAAAAGCACACGACAAAGGAAAGTTAGCATGATGTAGAGCCCAGAGGATGAAGAGAGAAGAGGGACTGAACAGGACCAGAGGGAAGAGGTCTCTTCATCAAAATGGATCAGGTACCCTGATTCTTTAATGAGGTTGGGCAACAGGTAGGGCCCTAAGTGTAACATACATAATACAAAATGTGTTTACAAAGTCTTTCTTAAATAAATGCCTTAATATTGTATATGATTCTCATTCCAAAGTTTGGTTTCACTTCTTAGAATCTGTGATAATGGCAACCTACGGGTGCCCAGGGTGCTGGCCTATGAGACTCGCACTATGTATGGCCTCATTACTCGCTGCCCTGGAGCGCCACTCATCTCAGAGAGAGAGAGAGAGAGAGAGAGAGATGGCTCTGTAAAGAGTCCCAACCAAAAGTATTCAAGAAAATAGAACTTTTAAAATCAGAAGAAAACATAAACTAAGTCCCGCCGAATAGTACAGTTATAAGTGCCTAATATATGTAGGTTAAATTTAATTGAATCAGGGTAATAATAATACTTTAGGTCACTAAGTCCCAGTGCATCCCAATGTTTCAGCTGCAAGTAATAGAAAACCCAATTTGAACGGCCTTAAACACGAAAAGGGATTTATTGCTATGAAACAAGGAAGCCCAGAGTTCGTTCAGGCTTCAGGCATTCTGTATGTCTCGGTGGGCCCTGGGCTGGCTTCTCAAAGCTGCTGCCACCACAACCAAGATGAGTGCCTCCTCATTCACACGGAGGAGGAGGAGAAAGCCATTCCCTTGACAAAGTCTTAAAAGTTGCTCAGACTGACATCTCTGAGCCAATCACAGTAGCTGGGGGAGGCCACCTGCCAGCTACCTAGACCTGCTCAGCCACAGACTCATTCCCAGGGCAAGGAGGATAGGCTACGTCACTGGATGCACACAAATCTTCCATCCCAAATTTATGTCCGGAACATGCAAGGAGAAGGATAGCCAACCAATATTTTTACAATACTGAGCTACTGTCCAGTGTGAACAAGATAAGCTCTGGAAGTTTTTTTCTTTTTTTCTTGCAAGGATTCTTACCATGTTTATAAGGCTGCAAGGGTCATACTCTATTTTTGTCTACATGGTAACTACTAAATTAATATTTAAATAAAAATCAAGCTGTTAATAAGTTGGTGACCTTATACATGTGATGTTTAATGTCATTTATATTAAGAAAATTGCAAAACCAAAACTACGTTGAGATGCCTTTTTCCAACTATCAGGCTGTCAAAAATGCCCATGTTTGATGTCATAAAGGTAGCCAAAGTGTGACCCTCTCTTCTATTGCTAATGGGAGAGAAAATTGCCACAGGTTTTTGAAGAGAAATTGGATTATATTTATCAAAATTACAAATGCATTTGCTCTTTTTGTTTTGTTCTCAGCAATTCTACTTCTGGAATACATGCTACACATTTACCACATATGAATGCGTGAAAAAAATTGAAAACCACTTAGGTGTCCATCAGTAGGCGGCTGGTGTTTGGAATCCCCACACTGGAATACCATACTTTTATAAAAAACAGACTGAGGAAGCCCATTGTGTACCAATCAGAAATATTTCCAAGGCAGAGCATGAAAAAGAGAACAGTGCTGAACAGTGTTAGGGTATACAATCTTTTTGGTGTGGATCAGGAACCTTCTCACTATGGGTATAAGGTATATTTTATACCTTCTCCCAGTGTTTTCATTTCTGAATCATGGGGATATACATACTGTTCAAAAATTAAGATAATATACAATGTTAAGTATGACAAAACTAACGTGTATGTTTTTCTCAAATATTTGTCAGGAAAGATTTTCCAGAAAGATCTTCCTCTCTGTCCCTCTTTTAAAGAACATTTATTCAGAAATGGATTAGTAACACATGGTCTCCTCCACCTTTCATGCCCCTTCCTCTCCTTTTGAACAACAAAAAAGACACGAATGGGGAATATAGAGGAAAGATCTCTTCCTATGAAGAATTATATCCCAACATTTTTTTTTAAATGTGAAGTGTTCCATCAAGACTACTAAAGTAATAAGCAGATAATAAAAAAAAATATTACTACTGTTTGATAATTTTAATGGTGCTCAAGTCTCGGTCTCAGTCTTCTTTGACTCCATAAGCGTTTTGGATCTGGTCCCTTTAGACCACCCCAGTCTTTCTGATTTGGGGTTCTACTTGCTTTTGTTTTTTGTTTGCCTTCCTCAGCCAAACTCATTTTTATCCCAGTTTCTGAACCTGCCCCAAATGCTCTTCTTCCTCTCCGTTGTCAGAGTGCCCTGTGCATCCCCCTCGTTGAAGTTTTATACTTGTGTAATTGTTTTATTTTTGTTGTTCATGCTAACTAGACTGGGGCTCCATGAGGGTAGGGACATAGCTGCTTGTTTACCCCTGTGTCCTCATAGTTCAGTGTGCTAAGTATTTTTCACACTGGATGAGATGTAAAGTTGTGGATACATGTTGAAAACTGCAGTGGAGAGAATGCACATTCTAGTTATTACAACACATCAGAAACAATAACCAGGCAAATACTCGCACTAAAGGGAAAACCCCAACACTTAGCATACAGGTTGCTGCTTTGAAGATAATGAAGACTCTACGATAGCCATCCACTTGTTCCCAAATTGTTTTTTCCCTGTAGTCTGGATGTACTTTGTATCAATTTCTGTCCAGTCCCTTTATTACCATCAATGTAGATTTGTAAACTCACACTCACAGTGGCAGATTGTCTTGGGAAGGCTCTATCTTGCTCCCCTCACCTCGATCAGCTTCCCTTACCCAGAACTACACCGAATAAATATACAATCTCCGCACCAATAGTTTTCTAGGCAAGTACAACTTTAAGATTCTTCCCATAAGATACCCCTCTCAGGTGAATTACAGCCTTCAATCCTTTCCCAGATAGATATTCTAGAGTCTACATTCACACTCACTCATGGCTTGTGTCTACCCAAACTAATTTAAAAACACATTAAAAATTGAAATGACAGGGGCGCCTGGGTGGCTTAGTTGGTTGAGTGCCCAACTCTTGATTTTGGCTCAGGTCATGATCTCAGGGTCATGGGATCAAACCCTGTGTCAGGCTCTGTGCTGAGCATGGAGCCTGCTTAAGATTCTCTCTCTCCCCTCTGCCCCTCCCCCCACCCATCTCTCTCTCTCTTAAAAAAAATTGAAATCACAAAAATTCCTGATTATTCTGAAAACCGGCCATTGAATCTAGTCAAGTTCTTCTTTCACAAAAGAAAGATGTTCATGTAGGCAGAATACAGATTCTTGCAAATTGAGGGTGACTGTCCTTGTCTCCATTTTCTCCAGCTCCCATTTCGCACTTCATGAATCTTTTTATGGTAGTTGCTTTTGGTAGTTCTACCGGGGCCTCTGGTGCCACAATTTGATTCTTGAATCTTAAAAAATATCAATACTTGAATCTTAAAAAATATCACCGTATAGTATTTCTTTGGCTCAGTAACGTGTGATCAAAAAGCAAGAGACTCTATGCTGAAAACAAACTAAGATTATCATAGAATGGAAATTTTGAAAATGACCACTTGTTTCTTTTGGCACATTCTCACAAATACCAACCCCCTTCAATGCGTTGCTGTCTCAGTATCATAACTTGTGGAGCAAAATGGCAGCCCAGCGTCTGTCTTCAGTGCAATCAAAACCCTCCTCCCAGAAATAATCTGATTTGCCTTTCAGGGTGTCAAATAGCATCTGGGGACTCTTTCACACTGCTTGAGTTTTCTCCAAAATCCAGTCCACATACTTAACCACGTTGGTGTAAACCCCTGGCCGTTCCCTCTGACCGCAGCCTTCTCCCCAGCTGGTGATGCCCACCAAATGCCAGACTTCGTTGTGTTTACAGGACAAGGGGCCCCCTGAGTCTCCCTGTGATGAGGAGGGGAAAGAAAAGGTGCACAGATGAGTTCAGATGCTTCTCATCTTAAATATATGTTCCTCAGAGTGATTTTGCCTAAAATTCTCTTCTTGGCTCTTTAACAAACTTCAATGTAAGTAAAACAAATGTGACATGGCTCCTAGAAGACTGCTTTTTAAATGCATTAAACTTTCTGGGGAGCCTCGGTGGCTCAGTCAGTTAAATGTCCAACTCTTGATTTCAGCTCAGGTCATGATCTCGGGGTCATGAGATCAATCCTTGCATCAGGCTCCATGTGTGGAGCCTGCTTGGGATTCTCTTCTCCTGCTGCCCCTCCCCCACTTGTGCACACGTTCTCTCTTGCTCTCTCTAAAAAAAAAAAAAATGCATTAAACATTCTAATGTGAATATATTCAACTAGCTGAAAACACTCTTACCTTACAAGCATCCTTCCCTCCTTCTTTATAGCCTGCACAGATCATCTTATTGGTTATTTTATGCCTTCTGTATCTTATCTGGCATTCTTCAGTTGTCACCAAGGGTATGTTAGCTTTCTGGAGAGTGTTTTGTATTTTGCCTGAAAAAAAAAATTTTGGCTTGTTAATGGAACAATCATATATATAATATAAAGATATGAATTTAAAACCAAAATCATACTTATATAAAAATCTAGAAAAAATATTAGGTTTACCTCATAAAACTTTTATAATTACAAAGTATAGAGAAGAGATTGTTTGTTAACATTAAGTTCAAAACTAAGTATGCCTCTAACTGGAATTACTGCCCAGAGAAAATAACTGGATAACAGGCCAGGATATTTCATGGAAAGTGCTAAGTTTCACATTAAACTTCATTAAAAATAATTAGTCTTTAAAGAGGTTGTCATATTTAAAATTTCCAATCAAACAGATGTGGGATCCTCCTCACTTGGGTAATTTTGCCTTTTCATTTTTTTTAAAGATTTTATTTATTTATTTATTTGAGAGAGAGAGAGAGCACAAGCAGGGGAAGCAGCAAGCAGAGGGAGAGGAAGAAGCAGACTCTCAACTGAGCAGGGAGCCCGATGCAGGGCTCGATCCCAGGACCCTGGGACCATGACCTGAGCCAAAGGCAGACGCTTAACTGACTGAGCCACCCAGGTGCCCCGCCTTTTCATTTTTATTAACATGCTTTCTGTAGTTGAAGGATGTGATTATTTTACTCGTATTTTAGCTGTATGCCTTGATACAGCAGAAAAGGGTAAAACTGAGCTATGTTCTTTACCTTTAGGATGGAGCACACTGAGAAACATCATTTCTTACCTCTTAACTTTCTGTACCCCCATCCAGTCACCCAGCAATCAGTATATATTACATTTCTATCTCCTTTGGAAGGTAGACATATGGGTCTCTGAGCATCTAAATTTTAAAAATCATAGTTTAGTCATCAGAATCAAAATATACCTTCTCTTCCAGGAGAGACTCTCTTCTTTCGCTTTATATTATGTAGTGTGTTCTCTATTTATTATATTTGGGTTTTGCCTCATTGCCATTCATTTTCATTCCTCATATTCAGCATTATCCATCACATACTCTAGTGTGTGGAACTATCACATCACCTGGGAATTTGTTAGAAATGCAACCTCTTGAGCTTCCCTCAGACCTAGATGGGTGAGGAACCTATCCTCACCCTTGGACCTATCACATCACCTGGGAATTTGTTAGAAATGCAACCTCTTGAGCTTCCCTCAGACCTAGATGGGTGAGGGAATAAGGGGGAAATCAAGGCACAGGCCTCCCCATGAGCTCTATCTCTCTAACTAGGTCTGTGACCCTGTAGAAATTGCTTACTTGTTCTGACCTGAAATTCTTTAGCCCCTAAAAGAGAGATATAAATCATCTTTAATATTCCAGTATATAGTTATGTCATTTGGTGCATCTGAGAAAGCCTGCAGAAAACTTAGCTCTTCACCCACACCCCACAGTAAGATTTATTTATTTTTATTTTTTATTTTTTTAATAATCAGGAAAGAGTGCCAGTCTTAACAGACTAAAAGACTAGCTTTGCAGACCCTCTCTCTTTCATGATCACACCACCTTGCAATTGCTGGGGTCAGGGCATGAATCTGGAGGTGTTAAACGTTACATCTAGGTAATCATTGTTGATAACTTCCCATTTAAAATTCCAACATACCTGTGTAATTTATTGCAGTTTCCAGTTTCAACAAGGCAATATCATACCCATTTTCTGCCACTTCATATTGATCATGAATTATTATTTCTTGAACCCCAAAGAAAGATGTGTCCTTTTTAACTTCTGATTGGTTTAAAATACCACTATAGACACGCAAGATTTTAGGTGACTCTACCCTAAGGAATAAACAATAGGAGGAAAAGAAATTCCCATTACCAAATAATTCCCAAACATTGGAGCTATATTGCTAATTACCTACATATTACTAATGTTTTCTACAGGTGGTGGGCTTTTTGAGGGAAAGGAGTGATTTCATGCTAAGATTTTTCACTCACATATTCCTCCTGTAAAAAGCTCTGGGTTAGTATATATTAAACACAAAAATGAATGAAGGCTCTTTCCACCCAACACACACACACACATTCTCTCTCTCTCATTCTCTTTCTTGATCTCCCTCTCATGAAGAGTTCCAGGTTCTAGTCTCAACCATAGCATTATTACCTGTGATCCTGAGAAATTCACTTGGATTTTCTGGTACTACATTTTCCCATATGGAAATGGTTAAAAAAAAAAAAAAGTAAAGGAGATTATTGACTTCAAACATATCTGTGAGTTATAATGTGAGTTAGCTACATACTGATGAAAAACAAAAATAAACACACAATACCATGTCTGGAAACTCAGAGAATACTGAAGTGCAAAGAGCAAGTTTGGCCAACTAAAATTCCCTGGGATACATATACTCTCCCAATGGAGCTTTTAGGTCTGGCCAATATTGAAATTGACCTAAGTAGGGAATCCAATTTGAGGATTTATAATGAATTCTTCCTTCTGTATTTGGAAACACAGGGAGATAGGGGGGAAGGGGGGGGGAGAGAAGAGAAACAGGGAAGAAGCAGCGGGGGAGAGAGAGAATATTAGATTTAGAGAAGGGGAAATTCTCCTGTGTTTAGTTCTGGACCCAAGGCCCGAGACAATGCACAGAAGATATGTACTGGTGGGAAACAGCAAGAACACTCCTGGGCATGTGTATGCATTTAAATGGGCAAGTGAAATACTATGCCATCATGTTCCTGCACCTAATCTGATGCTGGTAGACCATAAGTGGTTCTTCCCTTTTGCCTTTTTTTTTTTTTCACTCGAGAAATTTAATTTAGCACATAGGATAATTTACATTTTTAAAGTATTTACTAAAATGCTAATGATAGATTTAATATATGTGTGAGCCTGGGGACTAATAAAAACAGGAATTGTACTGACTCGTCGAAACAGTGAGCAGCTGTTAGTATCCACTGGTTTCCAATGATGGAGCCTCCACATAGGTGTCTCTGGGTGGGTGACGTGATATGCAAAGTTATCTGCCACGGCCACTCACCAGGAACAGATGCTGTTCCTCCAACAATTCTGGGCTTGATTTTGGTTGTACACTCTGCAACAGAAGGGTTGCAATGAGTAGCTTCCTAAATCTTCCTTTTCCATCAGTAGTTATGTTCCTTCAGGCACAAAGAGGAGAAAACCTTCCCTCGATTCCATATTTTATAATGACCCTGACTTGAAGAAATTTTATAGTCAAGCTGGCAAGCAAAGCATGCACAGGAAAATGGAATGACTAAGGCACCTTGTAATTCCATACCCCCAAAGAAAGTCTCATCCGGTATTGCATGCAGTCTTATCTTCCCTCACATGATAACCCTGATGGTTCTTTCAAAGCAGTAGTTATCAAGTGTGGCCCTTGGACCTATCACATCACCTGGGAATTTGTTAGAAATGCAACCTCTTGAGCTTCCCTCAGACCTAACAGATCAGAAACTTGGACAGTGGAGCCTAGTAATCTGAATTTCGATCAGCCCTGCTGAAGTTTGAGAATATTATTATAAAGAAAAGTGAGCACCTTCCACTGAGTTGACAGCATCTATCCAATTCCCCCCGTCATCTTCCCCTCAGGCTGACCTTTGGTCCCAGTCTCTCCTGCTCCAGCTGGGTTCCATCCAAACCTGGGCTGCTCTTCTGTTTGTGAACTGCTTCTGCCTTTTGGCCTTGTTGACAGTTTGAGGTTCTCTAGGTTCAACCCTTGATACCTTCCAAGGACTCTGATTCTGATTTACCCCTCTGTTTCTTCCTGTCTTAGCTACCCTGGGCAGGACAGTCCAGTCTACTTCTACTTCCTGGGATGCCAAACATGAGCACCCACCCTCCTGATGGGAGCCTTGGCCAAATCTGGCCCAGTAACCTAGGGAGAGCGGGGATGAGGCGCTCATAGACAACAGTGTTCTAGAGCAATTCTCATATTTTAATGTGGATATGGATCACTGGGTTGACTTTTATTTTTACTTTATTTTTATCACCTAGTTTTTTTTTTTTTACATGCTGATTCTGATTCAGTCTGGGGCGAGACCTGAAACTCTTTCTAGTAAGCTCCCCGGTGATGTCAACATGCTACTCCCAGAGCACACTCAGAACAATAAGGCCCAGAGGATCAGGGAAGCTTCATGGCCTTAGCTAAAGGAGGAGTATGAAATTAGCAAAAGAGTCACTATTAGCAAAAGCCAAGTCCTAGATGGTCCGTTCCCTGGTTTTGTAGGTGTAAAACAACCTCTATAGGCCTTTCTTTCCTCAACCAGAAAATGGATGTATAATCCTGGGGCAGACTTCAAACAGAAGGAGAGGTCAGGAAAAGGAGTCTTAGAGAAAACTCCAGTTGGTAACACTTGGAGGCAGGAACAAGCTTGACGTGCTTGTGAAAGCTTAAATAGGCTGGGATGCTGAGAGAAGAGTTCTCACCTGAGAGTAGATGGGGTGAGATAAGCTTCAGAGAAATATTTTGAAGATTTTGACTAGATTCTGGAATTACAGGGAAGCTGTTATGATTTACAAGAAAGGAAAGGCAAAGTTTAGGACAATTAATAGGTAAGCAGTAACTAAAATATGTTACAAACAAGAAAGACTTTCTTAGGGATAAATAATAGGTCTTGTTCATTCTCTTTTGTCTCTCAGTTTAAACAAAATGCTGGATATATGTGTTTAGTGTTAGACTTTGTGTCAGGAAACATTTCTTTTGATGGCAATTGTCTGTATCTTCAAGAAGTTATGAAGACCAATGACAGTATAAGACATGATAAATATCTCAGGTAGATATCCCCTCCCATTAGGGTATTATTTCATCTAGTATAGTGCAGGAAAATCTAATGATCTAGTTTCAGAAGGTGCCCTAAGAAGTCATAAGATTTCCTTTTACCTTGTATTTTCTGCTTCAGCTATCAGTTTCCACGTGATATATTCTGTAGCCTTCACAGACCAGAATCCATACATTCATCAGAGAAGAAAATAATGAAAGGAGGGTGGGGAATGGATTCTGCAATTTAAGGTGTAAGTGCTGATTCCCATTTTAGAAACTATATCAACATCACCACCAACAAAATCTGCCAAGTGCCAAGTGTCCCTTCTAGTGCTTAGCAGAACTAAGATGACAGAATTATCGTAAATGGTCCTTCTGTCTCAGGTCAATGTATTGTGAGGAAAACAGAGAATCTTTGAGACACAACTTCATTGGCTGGCTTTTTAAAGGAGCTTGGGCCATCCAAAGATTCCCACCAGATCCCTCTATACTCCAGAAAGGCATGGTTTCCTAGTTAGGATATTAGCATTGGACACAATATTGTATATGCTATGAAACAAGTTCTCAGAAGTTAAGGATTTACTCACCTTCTCATAGAGAAATGATTCTGACACAAAAGATTTTTATACTTTGAAAATTATTACAAAGTATAATCATCACTTCTTTTTATTCATTAAATCTCAGTTGAATCTTAAATTTGTAGTGCTTTATAATATTGGGCATTAAGCAATAAAAGTCTAAAATGCAGTTGTATGTAAATCAGTAAGTACTGAAGTCATAATGGGTAATTTAGGGAGGAGTGTGGTATATTCTTCCCTGTAGTGGATTCTGTCCCTTAGATCATTCTGTTTGCCTACAAACCAGCCCTTGCTACTATGCTCAGAAATTAGCCACTGGAATTGGCCACTGCTGATCTGATTTCCATTATAATTTTTATGTTATTATAGGTCTTCTTTAATGTGGACAATTTCCTTTCTACCCTACCACACTCATTGTTATAACTAAACAAGGTTTTACTGTAAATTTTTGCCAATACTCACAGATACGCAGAACACTTGGAGGCAATCTGAAAGAATGAAGGCCCTTGAAAAGGAGCTACTTTATTTCTTGAATAAATACATAATTTTTCAAACACACGACAACTATTTATGTTTCAACTAAAGGTCAAGTAGTGGCCAATGGACAGAAAATGAATGATCTGACTAACCAAAATGCTGGTTGATATTCAATTTTAAAGGATAATAAGATCATTGGCCCTCATAACAAGAATCAAACATCAAAGTGTTGGCTAAACCTGAGTCTCACCATGAAATACCAACTGTATAAATGTGTTAAATTAAAACACATATTCATTTAATACTAGGCAATGCAGAGTTTAGTTAAGGCCCAATATTTACCTCTAAAACATGGTCAGCCTGGGTGACAGGAGCAAAAATAACAGAAAATTGCATCTAAGTTCATTATTGTACTAATTTTCTCCCCTTTGTGGCTATTATTGACTCTCTCCGTCATGATATATTTGGTATAGAACTCCTTCAGATGTATTTTTTTCCTCAGGTAACATGAAACTCACCGTTATCCATTTTACATAACCTTAATGTATATCCAGAAATACCGCCTCTCCCATGAAGTATTTTAGTTGGCGATCCATTTGAAGAAAGTTTTAAGTAACATTTACCCCTGCAGGTTGGAAACAAAATAGTATAAGCACAAGGCACCCCTCAAAAAGATGGGACAGGAGCATCTATGTAACACGTCATAGGTCTTACTTCCCTCCGTTGCAAGATTCTGGAGATGGGGAATAGGTAAAAAATTGGCAGCGGATGGTATCGGTACACATTTTCTGGCAGGCTTCATGCCCTTTCACATCAACAATGTCCAATTCTTCTCCCAAGAAATCAGTGTCATGGTAAAATGAGGAGTGACAGAACACTAGGCAGCAAACCACAGATCAGATATGAGACACAAAACCTTAGCGCTTGTCAACCTTGGGTTTGCTAAGCTCGATCGGAAGAGAGCGCTTTTGCTGTTTACCTGGGACGCTGTGCCTGCAGTTTTGCAGACTAAAACCAGAAAGAGCTTTGTTCTTCTTAATGCGTGTACTTGGTAATCCACTTTCAGATGTTTTCAGGAGACAAAGGTTTCTAAGCACAAAAAAAAAGGAGGTAATGTAAATATATCATGTAAGACATATCAAAGAAAAAAACTATTTTTTATAGCACATATAAAAGGCAATTCATGTTGGTATTGAACAGTGAAAATTTTCTCATTTTGCAAGTACTCTTCATAAATCACCGAGTCAGACCCCATGATTTGTGGTAGACAAATCTTCAAAACTAAGCCACTTGCCTCCATAAAAATTTTCTGAGCTGGTTCTACTGTCAGTGTTCCTAGCATTTTCCTTCTTTACCTGCATTCTTTCAACACTCCTAGCCCATCTCAAAGATTCCATAATTTTCATGCTACAGAGAAATCTGCCATCCAGAGTAGCTGGATGACTCTGGATGGCAGATTAATTCCTGGCTTAGACAGGGATAAATGAAAGCCAACACAGACTGCATCTTCCTGGAAGGAAGTAACTTCTCCTAATGAGCCCCAAATCACAGTCTAGAGCAGTGCTGTCCAACAGAATTTTCTGCAATGATCGAAATAGTCCATGTCTGTGCCATCTGAGTCAATGGCCACTAGTGAGCACTTGGAATGTGGCTAATACAGCAGAAGAAATGAATATATAGTTCTATTTAATTTTAATTAATTTAAATTTAAAAAGCCAAGTCTTGGCTTGTAGCATTCATCTTCCTCTCTCACCCTGTATCGAGGATCCAATACACTACTTCTCTTAAAGGTATTGATTAGGAATTTTATAAAAGGAATAAAAAAGAAAAAGAATAGTGATTAACCCAACAGTACAAAGCCATCTTTCTAATTTGTGACATTTATCATGTCCCAAGGCTCAATCTTTGCACCTCCTCTCTTCTCCGACTGCATTCGTTCCTTTGATGGTCTCACCCAGTTTCAGTCACTTTAATCACCAGCTGTATTCTGGTAACACCCGAACACAGATCTAGAACATAAACCTCTCTTCTTAGTTCCAGATTTCTCTTTCCAATGGCCAATTCAACACTTCTCTCTGGATGTCTACTAGGCATCTCTTCTCTCTTGAAATCTGCTCCTCATGAAATCTGCATCCCCATCACCAGCTTTATCATCCTGTCAGTTCCCTGGGCCAAAAGTCTCAGAGCTGTCACTGACTTTCTTTCCTCCAGAGCTGACGTCAAATTCATCAGCAAATCTTATTGGCCCTACATGGACAATATCTCCCAATCTGATTACTTCTCTATCACTTCCACTCTGGTCCAAGTAGGGCAGCATTTTTATCTATTGAGTTCACTAATGGTAGCAGTTTTGTTTAGAACAGTGCCTGGTATACAGTAAGCACCAAATAAATTACATTATGTTGTTGAGTAAATGAAAGCAACAGATATATTGTCATGTGACAGACTGAGTACTTCTGAAAGTTGCTCAATGGAAAACCAGACTTGCCTGATGGACAGTGAACTTGAGGGCTTACGCTGGCTGGATTGCTCCTGGGGACACACTCCCCACATGGGCAGCTAAGCCAAGAAAATACCAAGGATTCTGAGAATTCTGATTCAGATAATATAGAGAACCTAGATTTTGAAGCAGACTTAATCTTAAGGTTTTTTGGGGTTTTTTTTAGTCTTATTAATGAGGGGCAGCAACCCCAACAGATATCCCTTTAATGACCAAAGAAATTTCCTATGCTTTATTATGGTTTCCTGTATTAATACCCATCAGTAGGGAAACAGCATCTCAATTCTCAAACCTCCCTCCACAATTACCCCCAATTCCATTAATGTAGGCCTTCATTTCCACTTCTCTTCACTTCGGATTTGACATTTCGCTGAAATTCCCAGCTTGTTCTGCTCCAGGTTCAACGATCTCAAACTGGGCACTGAACTAAGTTGCCTTTTAATGGTCATCCATATTTTCTTCATTCTGTTCAGAACTAGGCAACTCTCCCTTTGCTGAAGGCAGGGACCTCCCCCAGCTAAAGAAAACAAGAATCCTTGCTAACATGGGATGTGTGGCCATTAAGTGGGGAATGGAAAGAGGGAGAAGCTAGGAATTCTTCTTTGCAACTCTGATCTACCCAATGCAGATATTTAGATCAAATGTGTAGTAGCTCAGAATTGTTAACCATGGATTTTGAACAGTTGTTTTAAAAAATAGCACATTAATCTTAACTCCTTACCTTTCAGATTCCTTTGGCCATTCTTGAGAAAAGAAGGTAAAAAACAAACAACTGGGATGGTGAGTACAAATGCGGCGACAGACAAAGGCATCTGGGGCCAAGACACTGTCGATGTTACTGTCTGCAAACACTGTACTACGGAAAACATCCCTAATACAAGCTGCACAACAGAAGAAACCATGCTTAAGAAATCAGTTCACCAACATAACCAGTAAAATACCTGTCATCGTATTTGTAAATGCCATATGAAAAGTTGGTTGGGGGGCGAGGGACGGATGAATAAGCTGAGCACAGAGGAATTTTAGGGCGGTGGAAATTCTCTGTATGATACTGTAATGACATTGGACAAATGTCATGATACATTTGTCTACGCCCATAGAATATACAACACCAAGAGTGAATGAGAATGTGAACTGTGGACTTGAGGGGATTATGATGTGTCCGTGTACGTTAGTCAACTGTAACGAATGTACCGCTCTGGTGGGGGATGTTGATAATGAGGAAATCTGCGCATGTGTGGGGGCAGGGGTGTATGGGACATCTATATTTTCCCCTCAATTTTGCAGCAAACCTAAAATTGCTCTAAAGAAATAAAGTCTTAATAACAATTTTTTAAAGGTTTGTTTATTTCAAGATCTTTAGAATTTTCTTTTAAACTAGGAAACGTGAAGTGATTATTCTAAATTCAAACAGAGCTCTAATTATATAGGACACAATGAATTTTTTCACATGAAGAAGGTAAAAGATCATTTGGTCCACTTCATCAGTGAGCACATATTGGGATCCTAAGTTAGGCCCATCAGACATATCATCAGCCCTTACTATTTAATGGCTAAACCACCTCACTAAGTAAATGATAGTTACCCAGATTAGAAAGCGCACAGGATTTCAATGAAAATCCAGACACCACTGAACTGAGCTTCGTTATTCTGGTTGGTGTCCCCATTTGGGTGTACTTCAATAGACAAACGTTACTGAATAAAAACAAAAATGGAAAAATGTTTTACTCTTCTAAATACAAGTAGGAAAAAACATAAGGTGATAAGAAATTCCAATTTAGACCCTGCCTGGGCATTACAGCTAAAGGACTGCTCTGGAAAGCATGGATCTGAGAGCTGGACAGCTGGACTTGAGTCCTCGCTCTGCCAGGACCTGGTGGGCCTGTGAATTGGGTCAACTTTATTTTTCATTACTCAAATGCCAGCTTTGGAGGGATGGTGGTCTGAAGAGTAGCAAGTAGGAAGTAATGAATTCTCAAGCCCTTCTCAATGTTAGCATTTTAACTTTTTTTATAATGCCCAGCACCTCCCAAGTTCCTGGCTTGCTGTCCATGTTGTGTTAAGTCTTAGATGTAAAAAATGTAAAAAGATGTAGTATGAACTAAGCTAAACACAAACCATGAAAGCTTGCTTATTAATTTGAAGGTTCTGTTTTATCATTGGTGTTTTTGAAATAAATCTCTATTGCTTTATTTGCTTTGCACTCACGTCCTTGTTGTGAATGTGGACAGTGGAATGTTAAAACCCAAAGGTAAATCCAAATACTAGTCATATGAACTTATTTCTCTCTCTCTCTCTTTTTGATTCTAGATAAGTATAATTTACTATACAACTCTAAAACTTCACAAATATTTCTAAATATAAAAGTCAGTGCCATTTTCCCCTAAACTTTTTTAAAAAGGAGAACACAGATGCATCATTAGAGATCAGGTCATTTTTATATCCTACCCATTTATCTCTGGAATATTTCAAAATCTGGTATGGGGCAGGAACTTTTATTTAGAGAGGTCTGAGTAGGTTTTTCCTTTTGATTCTATAATCCTTTAGGCCAGGAATGGCACAGTTAGACCAATTATAACTGTCTCAAAACTGCCAATTAAGAAATGTATCACTTTTTAAATTAGCTAGGAGATGGGTTAAGCATTTTTTTTATGTAACAATGTCAGTAAAAGACAGACTCCTTACCATAAAGGAAATGCATCCAAGTTGGGCTTTAAATGCACTTTCCGTGAAGAAAACTTATCAGCACTGTACTTATTATAGAAATGTCATTTAGGGGCTAAACATGAATTTTGGCATCAAGCTGAGGAGAAATTCTGTTTTCCATCAGATAATGTAATGATCTACTTACTGTCCTTGGGCTCAGCCTATGGCTCACTCACCGATGCTCTGCGCTTGGAAACTGGCTTGTTGCGTATGTGAAAAAGTGACAGTGCACATCATTTGTGCATCTCTCTTGGCATTCCTGAACATTCCTGGCGACCGAGCCATTATAGTTCATGCCCTTCATGTCCAGGCCCACATACACATTTTTGTTGCAAGCTGGAAACAAAAGCAGAAAATATGGCAATCTTCCAGACTCCAGGGGCAACTGAAATAACGTTACCTTAGCAACGGTCCCTCCTGACTTACTCTTTCGACACCTACAGCCACTGTTCCTCAGAAGTCCTTTGTTTTCATCTTAATCCGCTTAATTTCTACTCACAGGTGGAAGCAGCAAAAGGATGCCAAGGTCCTTCTTATATTGCAACAATATAGACTTGTAAATTCCTGTTTCAGTTTTCCACCCTGGCCTCCCTGGTCTCCTTAACCCCTTGACTGATTGACGAACCTATTCAAGAATCTTTTCACTATTAAGACAAGTGTCATCTCAAATTTTACAGGTGCTCTTTTGACTTGAAGTAATATGTTTAATAAGGACTTTTATATAAAAACTTTAAGCTGGGAAAGAGAAAGACAATAAATGAATGATGAGGACTAATGTAGTAAGACATGTCCTTCAATAACGTAAATTTTAATGAATGGGGTGGTGGGAGGGGACATGCATGCTTAGTTTTTACTCTACACTGAAGGCACTTCATTTGGAGATTCTATGACCACACAGCAGGGTTTTGTTTTATAGTTATAAAGCCCTATGTGATGTAATTATACATAGGTATCATAGTAACTAGTATTTATGAATTCTAATAAGACATCTTACCACTTATTTGGTGTGAGCATTGCTTGAAAGAATATCCAGAAATGGCTCCTGTCATATTCACCCTTGGCAGTGTTTCTGTTACACTGTCCTTCAGGATACAAGTAAACCTGTTTTGTTTTTTTTTTAAATAAATAAATAACATTACTGCATGAGAACTTCTGTTTTAAAATAATGGATCTTAAGAGCCAGCACACAGGATGTCAAAGAGAAAGAAACAGACCGCTCTATCTCACGCCAAAACAAATATTTTCTTAGCCAAACCGAGTTTGTTTCTCGTTCCAACATCCCTACACTTAAAAGATCACATACAGTATTCCCTACTACCTGGAAATGGGAGGGGATGAACTATGACCTGTTGGTCAAACAACCCTCTACCTGTTTTGTATGGCCCATGAGCTGAGAATGGTTTCTATATTTTTAAATGGTTACATTTTAAATGGTTATATAAGTACTTAAGTAATATTCTTGATTTTGCCTCTGGACCTGTAAAGCCTAAACTATTTATTCCCTGCCTTGTCAAAAAAAGAGTCTGCCAAGCCCTGCTGTAGATTCTAGAATAGTAATTTAAAGTTCTGGGTACTATGTAAATATCTATGAATGCGGCCATAATACACAAAGATGTTGATAACTTAATTCTGTAGTAAAACTTTGTCACTGAGTTTTCAAGCTCACCATGGAAACAAAAGTGGTGGACGGAATGCCCTCAAATTTTAAAAATACAACTACAGACACAAAACCACTAAATGCAATTTGTGAATCTGGAGAAGATTCTGGTTAGTAGCTATAAATTATATTTGGGGGACAACTGAGATGCTATAAAGGAATTCTTGTTTAAATCGTATGCTTTCTGTGTAGGAAAATGTATGCTGAAATATTTAGGGGTGAAGTATTACAATGTCTTCAAATTAATTCAAATGGTTAAACAGATAGATTAGATACATGATAGATAAATGATAGATAGGGAAGAAATGGCAAAAGTCTTGGCGGTGTCGGGGATCACTGTACTACTCTTTGAAACTACCTTTATAAATATTTATTACCTAATAAAATAATTGAGGGAAAAGCACCAGTTTAAATAATATCCAATATAAATAATCAATCAAAAAGCAAAGAACAAAATCATTAAGAGCCATAAAAGTGGAGAGAAATAAGAGAGAAAGTGTACTTTTAAAATCTAGACCACAGAGAAGTTGGAAAGTCCACACTGAGGGGCATGTCTGCTCCTCCCTGACCTGTCCAAACACCGTCTTTTTTTTTTCCGTAATATTTCATATTTCAGTTGAAGGCCAATATGTTTTCCAACTGCTGACCTTTACATTTTATAAAATGGTAGATGACTATTCATTGGTAAGTAATCCTCACGTAAAAACTATTTGCTCTATGTAGAAATGCAAACATTTACCATTTGGCAGGATCTTGAGATGACGATTCAGCCATGAAGGTGAAGAGCAAACAGCGTGGGTGGTGGGTGCAGATGACCTGGCAGTGCCTGGCACTTGGCGTGAAAACGGTAGTGATGTCTCCTCCTTGGAAGTAGGTGTCTGTCAACAGCTCAGTTACACAGTCTGTGATATAATGCATTGCATGCCTTATTTTGGGTTTTAGTTGCTCATTGTCTAATTAGATAATAATTTCACAAAGGCAAGCGGAGTAGGTCTACTTAACAGAAAACATGCCTGAACTTGGAAATCAGAACAATCAACACTTTTATGTTAGTTTATTGGGTGAGCAGCCTCAGACAGAAAAGGAGATCACAAAATGGCACATTTGCCTCAATGGAACTGTGCTGATGGGGGATCGTCTTGGAGACGCGGGTGCTTTGTGGGTAACTGAATAATTGCACAGAGCTTTACTGGCAACAGATGTTCTTTAGGGTCGCATCCAAGTCTGGAAAGGGCCACCTGCTCTTTCCTTTCCCTACTGCTTGCTTGTTGAAACTCCATGTTTATACGAAACAAAGGATCCAGAGAGATCATTTTTCAATAGTGTTTGATGGCCCTGGATGGGAGATACTGTATCACATCACTATTGAAAATGGGCCAGTTTAGTAACAGGAACTTTAGACTCTCAGAAAAATAACTGAATCCCATTCTAACTGAAGCCATACATAGGTTTGTGGGTTTTTTTTTTTTTCTTTTAAAGCTAAATTGCATAAGATTTTTTTTTTTTTCTGTTTCTAGGAAGAGACATCTAATATTCCAGATTATGGCTCTTCGGATCATTATTACTTAGTCACTGAATAAAAGGTTGTAGTTTTTAATCTTGGTATATTCCTATTAAGAAGTACTACTACATAGCCCATGATCTTCTTAATATCTTTCATACATATTTAACATATGCATACTATATATGTGAATGTATATATACAGATATAGTAAAACTGAAATACTTTGGGAAGGATAAAATATAACTCAAATACTTATTGTAGTAACAACCAACATACCAAATATATGGGAAAGAATGTAGGTACAGAGCAGTGAAAACTATCACTAGAGGCTTATATTAGATGGCCCAGGGCCTTGGATGGGGAAAATTTCAACTTTATTTTCATTAACCTCTAATGGAAATGTGGCATAGCCTTCTATTATTAATGTAAGTAACAAACCGACATAATGTTCATTGTATTTAAAAAGAAATTACTACCTGCAGATATCTTAAAATATCATTATCACTCATCACTAGTTTGGTGGTAATTATTATTCTGCATTTTTATATCAGAGTTGGGTTGTTTTTTTTTTACACCTTAACTGTATTGCAATATACTTGATTTTCTTGGTAATCCTGTGTATTTTTACTTTATGCCTTTAAAGGCATTATTCTGAGAATACAGTCTAAATGGATCTATGGGGAAAAAGGAGTCAAGGATCCCTGCGACAGACTCTGCTCAAAACCCACCACATACACCTTCTAAATTACCCAACTACACCCTCTGCATATAACATAATGTTCTCCAAAATTGGCAGCTACCCAAGAATGACCTGGAGGTTAACGGAAACCTGCCCTCCCCTCCCCAAGCTCTGTGTTGCTTCCAACAGAGCGGTAATGCAGCCGCCCCATTAATGAAGTCTTATTTACACCTCAATATACTCCCACTGTCCACAAATCCCACCTCTTGGTGCAAAGCAAGTACTAATTACCACCAAACTAGCAATGAGTGATGTGGATTTGGATATAAATATAGGTACAGATGTGGATATGGACATACATATAGACTTAGATTACTACTATTATGAACAATTCCTGCACCTCAATTGCCTTCCCTGTTTTGAAAACCCACAGAGCCTTAAGTGAAAAATAAAATGATTATGTCCTTCCCTGGAGTAGATGGCGTGGGACCTTGGTGTGATTTCCGTCTCTGGGCTTAAGCCCTTTTGTTTTCTAGTCTTCAAATCAGGGAACCAAGCTATTTCCAATTCATACCTAAGATTAAGCTCTACTTACCACCAGAAACTGAGGCAAATAAAATGAAATGTACCACTTGATATAATAAAATCATCCTACAAAGAGAAAAATGTGCACATAAAATGTGAATTTATAATTAGTTTACTGCCATCAGGGTTTACAAAAAATAGGGAGGGAGGGGAATGGTTAATTCCATAGCGTTCACAGGGTTCTTATCATAATGCTGAATTTTACCTTCCCCACATCCCAGGACATCCCTCAGCATGGTTATGTGTCGTGTTCAACACTCTCCTAGTTCTGAAGAACCCAGAACTGACAGGGGAGATTACACCCCCCATCTCGGCTTCCCCAAGCCTGCAGGTCACCATTAAACAGATATTTCTCATTGCCATCATCTGACCCCTCCCCCACACCAATTTTTCCACTTTTGCGTTCTCTTTCAAATATTTTCCTTTCTTTCCATCTCTGAAGTCTCAATATAGCTATCGAAGAGCTCTAAATGACTTTCTACTTACGAAGTTTCCCATTTTAAAAATTCTGCTGCAAATATATTCATAGACCGTCCTGGTCACCCATAAATGTACTTATCCCAACAAAGCACTGAATTAACTGCTCTATAAAAAACTGACTATCAGTGAGAAAAATCAAGACTTATTTTTTAATATTGATCTTGAAAATCTTCTTAATTTGTAAAACACTTGTCATTGATAACAAGTTACTAGTCTTTCATTCTGCATCTTCCCTCAAATTGGTTATAGATAAAAGCTTCTAAAACGTCAAGTCAGACAAATTTTAATAAATCAATCATTCTCTCTATTGTAAAAAAACATTTTTAAAGCTCCCATGGTAGAAAAGGTACTTCAAGGAATAATTGCTTGAGAGAAATCTTAAATAAGAATTTTTGAAATCATACCTGAAAACATTTTGTTTGCTTGTTTGCAACATTCTTAGTAAGAGTGTTTTTCTTCTTCCCAAATAATCTTCATCCTCCTCTAAATGGGCTTGTGCAGGTAACGTTCACTTTAATATTTACTTTTACCGGGTCCCAATGTTATGTAACATTGCCTCTTTGTGGAGCATGTCTGGAAATCTCGGCATATCAAAAATGTCCCTTGGTCGAGTTGCTTGCTCTCTCAATACATTAAAATCTTTTTGTCTTATTTTACTGTGTATTCCAAAAAATGACCCACAGAGATTGCTGGAGAACTTGGATTTGCCTGTGTGCCTTAGCAGTTGGGCAAACTCACGTCAGTATTGCCAAAGCTTCACCAAACCACACGTTCAAATACCAGCTGTTAATCATTAAATCCAGCCGACCCCGAGCCTCACAGTCTACAAAGAAAACAAGGAAGGTCTGATGGACTGACATACACAGTATAGCAGTGGGACGGAACCTCACCTGTTGGAGGCGGGAAGCTTCTTCCAAGGCCTACGTTGATACAGTTAGTCTAAGAAGCTAAGCTCTTTTTTATTCCACTCACAAACACTGAAAGTCTAACTTAATTTTTTTTCTTTGAAAAACGGAAAAAATATGGGACTTCCGTATCTTTCTTTAAATGTTGGCGCACTGAGACAAAAGGAGAGCTAGGAAGTCACGTGTCTAGCTTTTGCAGGAAAAGCCATGGAAACATAACAGGTCAATTCTCTTTGTCTTGGAGGGCGCCCCCTAGTGATAGGACCTGGTGCTTCACAAAGAGGAAAGCTGGTGAAACACTTTTTTGGGTTTCACCTGGTTGTATTTGTTAAGCGCCTTCCTGTTGACCTTGAAAGAAGGGCTAAAAGCTCTATAGAAGCCGTGGATGAGGCATGTCCTCTGTTACTATTCATTAGTTTACTATTCATGGAACTTGAGCGGAAGCCATCTTTCTGCACTGTAAACCAGCCACCTGTGGGTCCTTGGCCAAGTTGCTTTCTCTCTGAGTTTCAGGTTCCTCATTTATAACATTAGACAATAACTAGCCCTAAGGATTTCTATGTGATCTCCTGGAAGCGTAAATAAGTAAAAAAAAAAAAAAAATTAAAAACCCTTTTTAGGGGCGCCTGGGTGGCTCAGTAGGTTAAGTGTGTGCCTTCGACTCAGGTCATGGTCTTGGGGTCCTGGGATCGAGCCCCTCATGGGGCTTCCTGCACAGTAGGGAGTCTGCTTCTCCCTCTCCCTCTGCCTGCCAACCCCCTCCCCCCACTTGTGCTCTCTCTGTCAAATAAATAAATAAAATCTTTAAAAAAAAAAAAAATACCCGGGGCGCCTGGGTGGCTCAGTCGTTAAGTGTCTCAGGTCATGATCTCAGGGTCCTGGGATCGGGCCCCGCATCTGGCTCCCTGCTCAGCGGGAAGCCTTCTTCTCCCTCTCCCACTCCCCCTGCTTGTGTTCCTGCTTTTGCTGTCTCTCTCTCTGTCAAATAAATAAAGTCTTTAAAAAAACAAAACAAAACAAAACAAACACCCTTTTTAATATGTCCGATTTATGTAAATTTTAGTTCCTTCACAAAAAGAAGATAAATAAATAAATTTAAGAGAAAGATAATTTTATGGTTCAGAGAAGACTTCTATTTTCCATAGAGAAGCAAAATAAGATTTTACATTTATAAATGGAGTCACAATTTTAAAAAATTCTGAGGATGAAAGAAGAAACAAAATTACAGGTTTGCCCCCATTTGAGATCTTGCTGAAGTTATTGGTATCAGAGGAAATATTATACTTTGTACAGGGACACTGTGCTGATATGAGTGTGATCTTCTGAACATAGAAGATGCCACCAGTTACTTTGAGCCTCTCAATATTTGGAGATAGAGACAATCTCCTTTTATGTCCATTACAACAAGGTTGACATTATCTGAACAGTTTCTGAAAGTGTGTTGGGGTGCCTGGGTGGCTCAGTCGGTTAAGCGGCCGACTCTTTTTTTTTTTAAATTCTTCATTTAAATTCAATTAGCCAACATATAGTACATCATTAGTTTCAGATGTAGCGTTCAATAATTTATCAGTTGTGTATAACATCCAGTGCTCGGATCTCAGGGCTGTGAAATCGAGCCCTACGTGGGGTTCCACGCTGAATGAGGAGCCTGCTTAAGATTCTCCCTCTACCTCTGCCTCCCCCCCACACACATGTGCTCTCAATGAATGAAAGTGTGGAATACCTAGTCTCCAGTGGCCTAGTGTCTGTGTAGAAAGACCACCCAAGATTAGGAACGCTGGACGCCACTTTCAAAATTTGCAGAAATGGAACTGCTGTAAAAGAGAACTTACTGAAGGAGACAGTGAGAGTATAGTTAGTGAAGTAAGGTAGATTTGAAGCTTAGCCCCATATAAACTCATGGGAGACTTTTTGAAAAGAAAAGAAAAGACAGCATTGTGTCACAGAGGGCAGAAAATTATAAGGGGGATTTGGACTCAGAAGAGGGCTTTATGCAAAGTGCTGAGGACTGTGTGACATTCTATCCAGAAGGCAGTTCTTCAGATAGTTTTAATTCATCTATTGCCAAGATTGTGTGACCAATCTTGACATAAAGAGTCCTTAGTTGCTTTCTTGGGTTTCCCATTTAAAATTAAGTACATTCCAGCTACACATATTAAGAGCACATATTTATGATGAGCTCCTTTTTATGAAGCTCAAACAGAGAATGGCAAGTTTATGCCAAGACAGGTTTTCATGGAAAACTGATACATGAAGTTATATAAGGCCCTTACATCCCTGTATTGTTTACTCCATGAAACCCCATCTCTATCGTAAAGCTCCAATAAAAAGACTATAATGATAACCTTCGAACCCTATTCAGAGAAACAGGAAGACTCTAATGACAGCAATACTACATTGGGAAACCAGATAATATCTTCCTAAGTTTGGTTTAGCTAGTTAGTGAAACCTCTAAAGCCTCTGAAATAATATAAAAATTCCAAAATATTTTTGTCCATTCAAATAAAAGCAGAGTAGGAGTCATACTTGCTTAGAAACTCTTTGAGATTAAATAGACCTTCCTTTCAAACTGAGAGTAAGTATTCTAAAGACTTTTTCCAACTAATGCCATTGTAGTTTAGAATTCCAATGTCAACTACTTTTACCTTAAAGGTAAAGGTCCCCCCACCCCACCCAGTGAAATAAAATGCTTTTGAAGGCTAATGGAAACAGGGACTTACTAGACAAAATCTTAGGAAGAATCTAGAACTTAGTCTACAGCGACCCAAGTGCAAGTCAAAATTTAGAAGCACTGATGACCTAAAATCTCCTCTGTCTGGGACAAAGGAAATCACACAGGCACACTGCAGGTAGAGATCCCCATCTCGGTCACAGCCGCAGTCAGCTTGCCTTTGGAGCTCCTCTCCCTCTCATCAAGATTTACTTTGAAAAGGGGCACTTCCTCCCATGTCCTACAGTCCCATTCTTGATGTTCCTGAAATATCCCCTTTTCATTATAAGGTGTTAAGCCTGACCTTCATTCGGGTTTCTCAACACTGCCATTATTGATATTTGGACCAGATCACTCTTTGTGGTGAGGGACTGTCCTCTGCCATGCAGGATGGTTAGCAACATCTCTGGCTTCTATCCACCGGATGTACCCCCTTGCCCAGGTGTGACAACCAAAAATGTCTCTAGACTTTGCCACATATCTCCTGAGTGGCGTTGTGCCCAGTTGAGAGCCGCTGCTTTAGATGATAATGAAAATAACAAATAATGGTTATAAATGCTCCCGTCACCTTTTATCCTTCTCATAGAATGAGGCAACATGATCGGAGCTAGAGACACCATCTGGGATATATGAATGCCATGCTCAAGTCTGGCTCTGTCCTTGCCAGTGGACCTAGATTTAATCTTTGTATCTCTTCAAGGCTTCACTGCCTCATCTTTAGAATAAAGATGCATTCCTTCATTAGACATTCACTGAATGCCCATTTATATGCAATATGAATGTAAGAGAGCCGCCTTCAAAGTTGCTCACTATTTAGTGAGGAGATAGAGGTAAACAATAATTAAAAGTTTTCCATTTAAATTAGAGATCTCGCACACCTTGATGAGGAATGAGATGGATGTTGGACCCCTGGGCTAACCTCGGATTAGATGGGCACTTGTGCTGTGTGTCCCCCGTGTGCATGCACTGTTGTCATCGGCAAGAGCCGTGCCAGCTTCCCGGCCCCGAGCTGCCACCACCCTCTCCTGGATGGCACGGCCAGTGACCCACACCTCCTCCTCACTCTTCCTCGTGAGGGTGAAGTCATTCCAACCCCTCACCTTCTTAGCCTCTTGCACGTTTCTCAGTCCCACGAAGGCTCTTCCTGTTCGCCTCTGTACGTGAAAACATGGTAACAGGGACCATGCCAGGACGGCGGGCCCTGATCAGCAACTTAAAAGTTCATATCCCAGGGGAAGTCCACATTTCAAAACTTCCTCCCGATTTTGCCCAAATGAGGTCACTCCCTGACCAGTGCTTGCCCAGCAAGCATTCCAAAGTCCTGTGCAAACACCCATTCAAATTAATACTAAAAGCCAGAGATAAAAGATTCTCATAGCACACCACTTCACCCCACCCCTTTAAAGATAAAATGACGCCCACACAGAACAAGGACCACCGTCTTTATGGCATGCCAAAGTGCAAGTTGAAGTTGTATTTATTTTTAATTATTTCATGGAACCCAGTCACGTTTTATAAAACCTAGAGCATTTCTGGAGTAAACTCTCCAGCCTTCAGTTTCCTAGTGTGTGGCATGTGAATAATCCAGACCTCATGGTTTTCCTTCAGCGCCCCCAGCTTTAGCCCTTTCTACCACTTACTGTGTCTTTGAGTGTGGAAGGAAAAAAATATCGCTTAGAAACTTCACTTTTCTATTTTTTCTACTTATTTTGCACAATATTTTGTCAACGGTCAGTTCTGTAAATGTGAA